TTGTTCACGGATCAGTTGCATAAAATGAAAGACCAAGATCTCAGAATTTGTTCTGCTTGAACTGCTTCAACATTGATGATTCCAGTTTGTATTTGAACCTCGCTAATGTTAATGGTGGATTGCTTAAAATATGAACCGGGGTAGGAATTATGCTTCTGCAGTAAGAGATCAATTTGTTATAAAGCTTTTTACATATCTTTAAGTGAGACAGAGGGAGCTACACTTTTCAAAGGAAAATTAGAGGTGCTCTTTGATGCGGGGCACTTTTGATTTTGGTAAAACGTGATCTGTATTCAGAAGGTACCTGAATCTTAGCTGTGCACAAATGCAAATGTTAAAACTCGACTACACAGGGAACTAGCCTGATAAAGATGAGTGTCTATTTACTCTGATTTTAAAGTGGTGGCACTTCTCCCTGAGTGACTTTGAGAGCATTTTATCAATTGAGAAATAAAAACAAATATGAAACAACAAAGTTGAGAAACTGACAGATGGCACTGAAGACTAACAGCCTCTACCCTGTGTTTTTATCAGTAAAAGAATGCACAACACATTCAGTTTTTCTAAATAATAAGAAATAATTTTGCTCGGGCCTAAGACAGCATATGAAACCAATAAAGACAATATGGATATTTTTAGTAAGAAGGTGAGGATAACATACTTTAAAATTGTGCTAAATGTGACCAAATTACACTCAGGTGTGCTCTGTTTCTTTTGCATAACCATAGTAAAACTTGTATTTTATGAGGACAGATGTAATAGACCAAAGCAAAGTGTGATATGCATTTGCATTCAGCACCCGTACGTCGGTTGCAGCTGCAGCTGTGATTATTTTTGGGCGATTCTGTCACTGCATCCAGAAGTACTTGTACCAGTTTGAGAACCACAGTCTTAATTTCTTGAGGGCTGATGGTGTATCCTGCAAACTTTCAAAATGTTCCTGGTCCAACACTTGAATAAATGCTGCCTTCTAAGGATGCGATTAGGTTCTGCAGTCCTGGTTATGACCGAATTATGTGACTAAGGAGTTTTGAGTAGAGAAACATCCAATAATTTCAGAACACTGACTTTGTGTTCAAGTTCCTGATTTAAAGCTTTCTGTTGTATATGTGCATTTACATGATTATTTGTAACCCTTTTGCAATGAAGTAGCTCCAAAAGATTAGATAAAAAAAAATTCTATTTCTTTTCTCATTTGACCTCTGAGGAACTTGCCACAATATTTTTCATTTCTTTAATCCAACTTCTTTAAATATAGGGGAATGCCAAATATAAACTGGACCTTTTATTGCCATCCTGCCTGCAGAGTTTTTAATTTAATAACTCTCTCAGCCATACAGGACAGATTTCCTTGTTCGTCTTACCAAAGCAAAGACGGAAATGACAAAGTGTCAGTGTTTCAGACTTCATAATTGCTTTGTGACGATACTTGAACCAAGGACATTATTTCTTTTATTGATGTTCTCATCACTATGTAAGAAGCTAATATTGGGCATTACCAGAAGGGTGAATCAAGTTAATTAGTTTTTTTTTTCTTTTAAAACTTCAAATAACATAAACCTGCTTGTTATCGTTTCAGCTGTGTCACATTGACAGTTGAGGGTCAGAAGTTGTGTAAAGCCATTTATAAGCAGTGTTTTGCATGAGGCAGTGCTCACGTAAAAATATATATTTTATATAAATATATCCATATATTATACAAAACTAGTGGTTGCGTGTTTATTTTGCCCCTAAGAATATTTTTAAAGTAATAGATATTTTTATTTTAAATGTGATGTGAAAGAAAACCTTTTTTAAAAAATGTAAATCCAACATTAAGATATATAATAATAAACTATGCTGATCATTTTTTATGTCTCAGTCTTTAAAAATTCAATATTTTTGGCAGAAAGTGCTGATAAACCACTAACTTTGTTCAGTGAAGATGCATCAAAAATCGTTCATCAAAGTAAAACATGGATAAAGGTTGCATAAAAGAAAATAGAAAACATCCAAAATGAAAAGAGTTTTTTTTATTCTTATACACTTTTAAAGGATGAGTGCAAATAAAAGAGCTCATGACCAAAATCTACTCATCACTAAGCCATGGACCATCAGGTATCAGTAAATACAAGCTTTTTGGTAGCTATAATCTACAACATAGGGACAGAATCAAGGGGGAAAAAACAACACAGAATCTATGCAATCAGAAATAAAATGAAGGAAAATAAATTCATATGAACAAAAACAAAAGGGAACAAAAGGAGAACACAACACAATTTGTACATTCAAAAGAAGAAAAGCTCAAAAAATCCACAAGGAATATAAATATTACGGCAAGTGATGATAAAACATATTCTACAATCTGTTATGTACACTTGGCACAAATGTTATATATCAGACTTCCTGTCAGGTTGTTGACACTTTTTTTTTTTATCTACACAGGTTGTAACTCTTTATTTAAGATGCCAGCCTGACCTTTCAGTTTACCTATAAATATACCAAAACAATCTTTCTCTTAAAGCAAGCTGTAGAAAAGTTTAGCAAAGCTGGATGTAAATGTGGAGATGAAACTGCTTAATGATCAACAGCATCAGAAAATTGCTGACATATATATATATATATATATATATATATATATATATATATATATGCATGTATATCATATAGTATATATATGAATTATTTTTTTTGAATAAATCTCTCATAGTCCTTCTCATGCACTTGAAAGTTGTAAACAGTAAAAATTTAAGTGATTTACTAACCATATTTGAAGAGACAAACAAACAGACTTCCAAACAATACGGTGGAAAAAAAGTAGCAGATTGTTTATATGCATTTAAAATCACTGGCAGATGTGTTTATAATGATGTGGAAAATGGCTATTTCACATGATTAGATTGTCTCTACCTACCTGACGTGGCTGGAGAGAGTAAAAGCAGTTTACAGCTCATGTCCTGTGATGATTTGTGATAATACGACTCAGGTTTGCTCTACCTCTAAGACATACATTTAAAACCTACTTTAATATACAGCATGAAGTAGAAAAATGGTCTAGGCTGGGGTTATATGACTTTTGATATGTCTCTTCTGATATGTTAAAGGGAAAGTTTTGCCAGATTTTAGTTGCTTGTTAATTTACAATAACAAGGACACCTACAGGTAAGTAAAATATTTATATAAAATATTTGTGCAATTAAAGTAACATTAAGCATTTAAGATTACTTTGTGCTCTACAGTAATCTTAAGCAGTGTTGTAGTCAAAAATAAGTGGATAAAAGGATGTCGTGTTCAAAACAAAAAATAGGGATTAAAATCTTCACAATGTTTGATCAAATTTACAGCCAGATTTGTATAATGAACTTTTCTCCTATATCTTGGAGAAAAGTTACTTGTAAGTCAGTTTTCTCTAATTTCATGTATTCTAGGCTTCTTGCATAGATAAAAACATGACATATGTTTTTATTATTTTTGCAGTGTAGACACACAACTCAATACTTCAAATTCAAATTTGTCCTCCTTGAAACCATGGGAGCAAAACATTGTCTCAGGTTTTTTGTGTTTGAGTTTACTTTTGATTTACAAATAATGGCATAGTGCCATATTTTGTATGTTTCTTTATTTTTTTTAACCTCATGTACATTAGATAATTTCTAGAACCCAAATGTGCATTTTTCTTTTGCAAGTTAATGTGTCATTGATTTTTTAAACCATAAATTTATCAATTAAAAAAAACAAAAAAAAAACAAAAAAAAAAACATTAAATTTTATATCCTGGCATCTGAAGAATGAAATATGTATATATTTTTTTTCAAAATGCAATTTTTTTATTTTAAGATTAACGAACATGGGATACAGTTAAATTAAAGGTTTTCTTTTCAGTGACTACAACACTGCTTATAGCCCTGACTTGATAAAAACAAACATTTAGAATTTATTTTGATCTGTGACACTCAATGTTTCCCAGTTAACCTGTTTAGTCCCATATTCTGTTTAGGATCCCTTAATCATGCAAACCTTTATTCTCAGGGTTCAGAAAGTTCACATTTAAAGGGTAAACATTTCTTGAATTAACTGAATTGACTACACAGTAGCGAGCATTAGCTTTTTATCTTTGTGTAATACAATATGAAATTATATTTACCTACTTTATCTCAAGTGAACTGGTTCTTGGTGAGAAGGGCTCAGTGACAGCATATTTGATATTTAGTTTTAGCAACAGTTTGGATACATTTCAAGTGTCAGAAATTTCACAGAAAAGCATCAAGTGAGGGAATCCTGCTCAAAGGCTGCAGCTGTTCCAGCATCTCCTCTGTTCACAGATAATATTCAAAGCTTAGGCTAACCAGAGAACAGTCTCATCAAAACACTGGCCTGACACATTCTCAAACAAACAGGGACACTGCCTTCTTCACATTCAGATGTTACGGTGGAAATAAAAGGACATTTAAGTTCAACAAACACGTGAAGAGGACATTCATACATGAAAAAAACCATGAGGTAAACATGACTACAGAACTGATAGACACAAGGAATGGTAAGACAATGTCATGAATATATGCACAGTGTGTGATGTACAACAGCTGCGTTCATTCAAAACAAAGAAGCAAGACGTGAAAATAATATATACATTTGTTCTCAGACATGTTTTTTTTTTTTAAGATGACGTGATCTGTTGAAAGTTACAAGGAAGATACATCCAAGAAACAAATTAAATATAATGAAGCAAGCGAATCACTCAGAAAAGACTGAAAAATAAAGGAGAAATATACAGTGTGTTTAACATCAAATTAAAGAAAACATGAGTCCCAACTGCTTTGAGGAAGTGGACAGTCAACTCATCTGTACACACAAATGCCAACATTCCATAGAAATACGCACAGGATGGGCAGTTTTCGTCACTGGGCTGGATTTTAGATTCAGTGCACTCTTTAAAGAGGTGGGATATTTATGTGGAGTAATGGCGGCTGATTGGTAAAAGCAGTGGACTGTTGTTTTATGGCCTAACTCATTTGACATACTCAGCTGACTTCCAGAAGTGCCCTGGATGGGAAAGGCGGCGGTTCCTTTTTGGCAACTTTTCCAGTAAATCTACCAGCTTGGAGAAGCTGGGCCGCTCTTCTGGCTTGTACGCCCAGCACATCAGCAAAATATCCTGGAAAAAAAACAAACAAAAAAACAACAAAAAAACAAAATGGAAATTATTTCACTTCTTTTTTGCTCACTGGGAAAAGAAAAATTGCCTTGTATTAGTATTCATACTACAATTTTCCCATGTTCTGTCTCATTACAGCTGTAAATTTTGTTTATTTTGTGGGAATTTTATTTCATGCATCAACACAAAATAACAATTTTGAATTAGAGGAGCAATTACACATGAATTAATGTGTAATTTTTGCAAGGCTATTTCCTTGCAAAAATTTAAATATCTATCTACCTTATCCATAAGGTAGCCATTTATCAATAATTAAAATGTCCCAAATTCTCACTTACTTAAGAAGTAAAGTGTAAGTTACAAAGTTCATTATATTTATATAATGTGAAACAATATGATCACCAATAACTGTGAAAGAAGTGATTTTGTTAAGAATAATATTATTTCTTTATATTTCATATTTCCAATTGGTCAGTGTAAGATCATGGTACTGCAATAGAGGCTGAATTTATTATTAATTAACTTGTTTTGTTTTCTTTTTCCACCAGAGTTGCTAATAACTGTGTAGGGAGATAAATATGTAAGAACATTTACTTCTGAGGAGAAGATATCAGAGGTGTTTTTATAAGTGAGGATGGGAAACAAAAGGGTAAAAACAGCTTGAAACATTTATATATTTTTTATACACAAGTCCCAGCATTTTTTCTATTTTTTAATCAGAAGAAGCTCAATGTTAGACTCTTACTTCCCTTACTAGATTTAGTATTAGTCCAGTCATTCCATTTACCCCAAAATAAAAAAAAGCAATAACTGGTATTTTCTCACTAAAGCTGAAATTTAATCAACAATTCCATCACAGCTGCAAGTAGAACTCGTTCTAGTTTTATCTGTGTTTAATTATTGCTTGCAAGCCTTTTTCAGACATATTTTAATCAGCAAGAACCCTGAAGTTTAATTATATAAAATGTTGCTAATTTACAATTTAAAAACTTTTTTAGACTTAGGCACACTTTCAGAAATGTATTTCTCTGTTTAATTTCACCAACATTCAGCCTATTAAACAAACCTAATGCTAGTTAGTTATGATCAATTTGTTGGATCGTAATGGTTTAAAGACTTCAATGTTTGGATCCAAAGTCTACATAGCTGGATATTGTTTGATGCTACAAATTTTTAAAGTGAATTAAAATAAGACGCGTTGTGTAAATGGGGCCTATATAAACATTCATCATACTTTGGAAACTAATCCTGTCAGAAATGTGACTCATGATCAAGTAAAAAAAGGAAGAAAGTCCTTACCAGTATCTCCTTCCCCATCCCAGTTTGGGCAAGGTTCGGCTTCATGCCACTTCCAATCTGCCATATGATCACCTCCGCTGGCTGACTCTTGTAAGGCCACTCACGTGCGTGTAACTCATACCAGATGGTGCTGCAGAGACAGAGCCGAGCAGAGTGCGTCACCGCTTTGAACCATCTTATCTCATTTTGTTAAAGAATTATATCAACCAGTAGAATTCAGATAAGCAAAAACACCACAATTCAATTAATGCTTTCAGAATTAGATCACACTGGTGCATAGAAGGGATCCATACAGAAACATTAGTAGAGTTATTTATAGGTTAAGATCATGATATATGTTTTATAATGAATCTAGAGTATTTGTAAATATGGCTAATGTAGAAAAAATATATATTTTTTTGGTGAAAATAGACCATTTTCTCTCCTGTACAACATGTTTGAGTAGAATAAAAATAGCTCAATGCCAGGAGTAATGAAAAAAAAAAAAAAAGTTGACGCTTGATTGTTGATGAATATGCATAACAGCCAAGGGGGTCACCTCCAGGTAGCACAAAGGCCAACAGAGCAGCGGGACATTGTGCACAAGTGCTGCGCTTGTCTTCCTTTCAGAATAATAAGAGCGATGAAGCATCCATACGGGAGGACCGTCTGAAAACGCTGTTGTGTTAATAGTCAATAGAGCAGGGTCTACCCCAACAAACCAAGCCGTAATGGATGTGGAGGAGAAAGTGGAGCCAAAGTGATTTTTTAATCAACTTAGGGCGCATATAAAATTGGTCACTGAAGGAGGAGAATGGAGAGACTTTTGTCTGAGACTTATTTGACACTTGGAAAAGCAATCTATATGTAATAACTCTCAGATTCGGCAGGATGAATTCACTCAAAATGTGTAACTGCATTTTTTAAAAGGCAGAAATGAAGCAAATCAAAGACAGTCTGGGTGGGTCTGAAGAAAGACGTGGATGTAAGAAAGTGAGGGTTTTGCACCGATTTATTTAATTTAATATATTACTTACTATTAGCACGATCTTCAAGAACAACATTTACCTTCAAATCTAACCAGATGCTAACATGGACATCTGGTTAGCTGCTCAAAAACAGCTAAAAAAAATAAGAGTACTACAAAAAGATCTCAGAAAGTGGGTTAAAAAAATATTTTTCATTATAGTTAACATTTGTATTTATATTTGCCTTTTACTCAGATTAAGTAGCTGGCTTTTATAACGACATACTCTCCATTATGTAGCTTCATACATAGTCTTTAATTAAACTTTATAAGTTTGCTCCTTTAACTCACTGGCTGCTGCTTGAATTTCTGCCCATTTTCGGTTTGTCAACAGTTGGCTATAAATATCCAGACTCAGACACTGTCCGGACAAACAAAGACCTGGACATCTGGTTAGAGGACACTCACCCGAAAGCAAAGACGTCTGACTGTTTGGAGAAAGGAAGCTTGTCCTCCTCTGTGTCTGGAGAAAGCTGCTGAATAATTTCTGGGGCCAGGTGACACAGCCAGCCGTTGGGGATTCTCAGTTTGTCTTCTCTCCGGCTGCAAAGCAGAAAGACACAAACACGGGTATTTGTTACAAAGTGTGTCTCTTCCTGTTGTGTTGTGATAGCTTGCTTTTATGTAGTTTGTTGCATCCATAGAGCCAGGATTCTGGTTTGCTTTTAAACAGCTTTGCCATATATTAAATTGAATTTTAAGGATTACATCGTGTCAAATTCCACCGCAACGACATGAGGAAAAAAAAAAAAAACGACGAGGAAATACATGATGGTGTCTTCAGCCATCTGTGGTGCTGTCATGTTTCCAGACTAAAAAAATAAAGAGTCACAGGTTTGCCATAGGCATCTGAATTTCCTTGAAAAAACATGGCAAACATAATTATTGTTTCTGGAGGCTTAAGGCCAGTGTGGTTTGATATTTAGACTTTTATTATTAAATGTATAGAGCTACTGTTTGGACAACTTGTGTCACATTGATTATTGCAGTAGATTTTTTTAGTGTCAGTGCAAATAGTGTTGTGATCATGATTAGGGTAAATGTAATTATTATTACTTTATGGTAGAAAGACTAAACCTGAACTACAAAGTGCTTCGCTAATAAAAACATTGGTTTGTTATAGAGAGTAATATGACTCAGTGTAAACTTACCTGATGCCAGCAGCAAACCAAGCTTACTTTTCTGTTGCCAATCGGAAAGGCACATTTGGGTTACATTTACTTTTAATTTTGCGAAAAATGAGAAAACATCAGTTAGAAACTGGTCTAAAGATTATTTAGACCTCTTTGGCTTATAAATCAATTGATCAGCACCTCTTACACGTGCTTATTATTTAATTATTATCTTCTATTTTATCCATACACACAAATTGCTTTCATAAACATGGAGTCCAACATATACATCTGTTGGTAACTATATATTGTTGATTAATTATAAAAACCTCAAAGGATCACCTAACCATCAAATTCCCATGCTCTCTATAGACACAAGAACCTGCAAGGTAGGACAATTGAACCAATCAGAGAAAAGGTAATGGCTCTGTAATCTTTGTCTTACTGAGTCTCTCTGATGCTACTTGTCTCCTTTTCAAACCTTCTTTTGTGTTGCTGGATGTGAGCTACAGGTTATCGTGCCAATGAAAGACCCAGTACCTTCAATTCAAACAGTTTTCTGACAAAAGAGGCTTTTTTGGAATATGTAAGATTACTGACCTACTCGGTGTGTTAAAGGAACAGAATCCAGTACCTGGTACCCTGGTAAGCTTTTGGGTTGGTGTATATGGAAGTCTTAATAGAACAAGTATGCAAGGGTTAAAAAAAACAACAATTTATCAAGGGGCAGTCTTATATTCCACATTTATAAAAACTCTGTTATACCTTTGGTATGAAACTTAATTTTTTTGTAAAAGTCCCAATGATGTTTATGAGCAGATGTAAATATGTAATTGTGGCATATTTTGGTGCATTAGGTAATTACTGCCATATTTTAAAGATCAAAAAGTAATTCAGTAACAGTGTAGAGAGATAGGAGAACCACAATAAAGCTAATAACTCCTTAGTGTTTGATATTTTGCATAATCCATGATTTTGCTATAAATATGTGTTAATGTAATAAAAAATAGCTTGTGAAGATAATACGTGTTTAATCAAAATTGTCTCTCTTTAACTTAGATGAAAGAAAGTTTCGACTTTGAAGCTTGGAAATCCTATGAAAAAAGAAAAGAAGGCTTTTAATATCTTCTGAATTCAGTTTTTATGAAGGAAATTAATTTACGGTTTCGTTGATATTTCCTTTTCACATTTCTCTAATTAATAGTGTTTTTTTTTTTTTTTAGTAGCAACATCAGATCTTACATTTATGACTAAATACTGTCTAAATAGGTTTTTTGTTACCATGATGGTGGTAAAGTACAAATAAAATCAAGCCAAATATTTTGTTCTTGTATAAATATGCTTCCAATCACCCTGTCACAGCAAAAAGCTGCATGTGTCAGTTTTGAATTAAGCTTCCAGGTGTTTATTTGCAAAACAAACATAAGCGTCTGTCTCTAACGTGCTTCATACATATTTACCTGCCGGCCTGCAGAACTCCAGATATGGTAAAAAGTCCAAAGTCAGTGATGACGACTTTGCCGTTATCATAAAACACATTCTTGGACTTCATGTCTTTGTGTAAAATCCCCTTAGCGTGGAGGTAGCCCATCCCCTGAGAAGAAGGGGAAGAGAGATATTTGAATGTCCTGTAATGTGATGTTTGCTGCTGAAGTGTTCCTGGAAATCAACGTTGATTTTTTTTTTTTTTTTTTACCTTGACCATCTCTTGTGCAATCTGTCGCGTCTTGTTAACGTCCAGGACAACCTTGGCATCCCGCACCACAGAGTAAAGTGTCCTGCCTTTACACAAGCTGACAGAGAGGAGAAAGGTCATAGTTTAGAACATTAAATCAGCATAAAAAAAATGAACCATAAAATCTGCATCGTGAGCAGACAAATACAAAAGAGATTGAAGCAAAGATTGTAGGAATCTGTTTTCAAAAAGGTATTTCACAACACAGTTGATCTATAAACTGTCCGATATGAAGATCCCCTGTATGACTCCCCTACTCATTCAGACCGAGATGGCCTGCATGATCTGCACTTGGATAAGTAAAGCCTTCATATCAAACCTGTGAGTGACTGATTATACAGTAGAATCACAAATATTTAGAATATCAATAAGAAGTTAATCTCTTTCAATAGTTCACGTCAAAAAGTGTCTACAACCTGTATTGGTCCTGATAAAAACACACTGAGCCATACAGCGGGAAATGGATCTTTTTGACTGAATCTTTGTTAATCCAGCTTTATGCTTTAATTTTGTGATTATTAAACAATATTTTCCTCATTGCTGCATTTCTGATAGAAGGTGCAACACTTCTGCAGGACTGCCCTCACATAATGCATTTTAATAGACAGCTTCCCAAACCCCCACTGCCTCACACTTGAGACCCTCAACCCCGACTGTGCCCCCACAGGTGACCAGTAAAGGACCCGAGGCCCTCCATTCATACATATTCATCTCGTAGCGACACGCTGACAGGAGCCAAATCTTTAGGAGCCGTCCCACTTCATTCTTTTTCTCAAATGCAGCTTTCTGTGTCGGATGGCGAATACCTTCACCTCTGACAAAAATAAATAAATAAAACGCTAATGAGGCCATCTTAACATGCTGAGATTCACCCCTGTGTTTCAAAATGAGGTGGTTACGCCATGTGCATGAGCAAAAAAGCAGCAATGACATCACAGATGACGTCAAACGCATAAAACGTGTCCTGTGTGCTCTGCAAAAAATCAATCCAGACTTAGTCACAAAGGAAACAATCGAAAAGTAAGGAAGCAATCAGTGTTAATGACCTAACTCGTGCAAACAGAAATTCCTCATTTAAAAATAACCAATATACTTTATTTTAGTTTAATTATACTAAACTAAGTTGCACTTTGACCTGCATAGGGTTGTTAGAGTTGCATCTTAAAGATTTTCATCCTTACCATCACTCTGATATGTAGAAGCAGGATAAAAAAGCCACCTGTTGTACCGACATTTGCTATTATTTTCAGCAATCACCAGAGAAGGTTTCCAGGAGGCAGGCAGCTCATCTGCCAGCTCCCCTGCATTCACAGCAATTTCATCTGACATCACCTGCAGTCATAAAACTACAACTACAAATGTGTAACCTGTTACACAGTAAATGTGAAGAAAACAGAGATGTTTTTCTTGCAGAAATGTGTTCGCTAAAAAAAAAGGGCATATGAATCCAGTGAGATTCTCCATTCTTTAGTAAATAAATGAAACAGGAAAAAGAAGAAATGAGAGGATGGTGATTTTCTGTGTGGCTCTTTTTTTTCCCAGTGTGACGATAACAATGGCAGTCTCTAATATCCAAACAGTTTGCTTTTGAACATAATTAGCTTTGCTAATTAATTAAATGAGAGCATTTCTTGTGATGTCCTTGAATAATAACAGGTCCCTCTCCCTATACTGTGAGAACGCAAGCACTAATCCATGAAATAATTAAAAGGTGTTAACTACGTGAGAAAATTCATTCAAGTTCACTTGCGATGCTTTATCTGCTGTCAGCCTGTCAGAAAAAATCCACTGTTTGCTGTGAGGTGTGGGTGGTTCATCTACTCAGCAACAGTCGCAGCCTGTTCTAATCATAACGTCTGCATGTTTCACTGTCAGACACTCCATAACGGAGCAGATCTGTGGCTGATCTGAAAGGAGTGCCGGGGGGGGGACGCTGACTGCAAGGACCTCACAGCTGCCAGCCCTATAAACATTTCACAGATATGATGCGATCAGCATGAAACAAGTCAGAACCACTGGACAAACGAAAGCTGTATTCTTTATCTGACTTTCTTACTCGCACGAATGCTGTCAAAAGCATGTTGTTAAAATAATAATCTAGAGTGCTATTTTATTACATTTTTGTAATATTTTAAGTGAAAATTTCACACGATTTCTTTACCTTTCTAAATGTTGCATTGCTTGAGGAATACCAATTAGGGCTGTTATGATTACAAATGTTACAGGATGATAAATTGCCCCAGAAATTATTGTGATAATTGATAATACTGTTTTTCTGAGATTATTATCAAGTGATATATTGATAATGGCATAATAATGCAATTAATAAGTAAAATACTTTAATTTTGTACAGAACACCCCACACTGAAAAATATATGCAAAATAAAACACACAAAAAAAACAACGAATAAAGAGGAAATAAAAAAACACACAACAAAATAAAAGGGATTATGAAGTCTTTAATCGAAATTGCCCTTTAAAAAATATCAATTATCATAATGGAAATGAATGAGCTCATTTTAATTAATCATGCAATTAATTGATTAATTTCTCATTGCGACAGGCTTAATACCGTACATCAATTTGTCCGTATGATCCATGCGGTTCAGCACACCCACATATCAACACAGAACCTATTTAAACCTGTGCGATACATTTACGTATGTACAGAATTAGACATTTTCTACGCAGTTATGTTCGATTTTCATCTCTTTCAATCCCCACCTGGGTTTTCTCCCACTGACGGATAAATTGGTCGGTTTGAAAATACTTCTGATTGTGAAAAGCTTGACAATAAAAACAGAAGATGCAACAACACAACACGTTCAGTCCGCAACAGAACTGTCTTCCCAGATTTCTTGTCCCAACATAATCTGCATCATCTTTTCTCCCTACCTGGTGATGATGGCCAGATGCGGTGGGCTCATGCACACCCCCATGAACAGCACCACATTCTCATGGCGAGTGTTGCGGTACGCCATCACCTCCCGTTTGAAAGCCTTCAGCTGGTCTTCGTTGTCCCGCTCGATGTCGATCAGTCGGATGGCGACCTCTCCGTGCCACCGTCCGTGGAACACCTTGCCGAAGCGCCCTTTGCCGATCATCTCCCCAATCTCCAGCTGCTCAAAGGGGATGTCCCACTCCTGCAGGAAGATGCTCGTCTGGCTGGCTTTGCGTGGGAAGTTGCGAGCAGACAAAAGGGACAAATTCATCTCCTCAAACTCATCGCCGGAGTCCTCGTTGTTGGCATCTTCATTCTGTGGTGAAGCAAAGAACACAAACTAGGGAATTAGAACTGTAGGTTATCAGAATAACATGTAACTGTGATATTCTGTGATATTGTTGTTGGAAATGGGGATTAACATATTTATAGCAAATAACCCACATTTTTCCTGGCTTTTATCTATATTTTCCTTTAACACAATGCCCTCTCCAATCATGAACTTTTGCAACTCTCCTACAAAATTCCAGATCCATCTATCAGGACAAATTTGCATGTATGCCACTGTGAATCTAATATCCAACCAGTATCCAAGCAATCCTTTGTGGTTGCAATATTCCACATATAGATATTGTACTGATGATTGCAATTGTAAGTCATCGTATTCTTCTGTTCTACTACCAGAGTATCACTGGAACTGGATGATTTTCAGTTTGATTGGCCTTGACGGCTGATTGGCCGGTTGGGAACTCAAAAGTCCCATTTTTCCAATCAGTGAATACGCCACACTAAGCTCTATCAGGTTGCTCTGACAACAACACTGCCCAGTGTAGACTCTGTTAGTGAGTGAATATGACTCAAAATTAACTAGTTTCAGTATGAGTGAGGTACTTAAAAATGAATCCAGAGATCGCACAGAGACATAAGAAACAATTTAAAATGAAGCTTAAATTGTTCCTATATGATGTTGAGATATGCCCGTGGTTCATTTAGGCTTTGGTTCATAACAAGACATTCAGCAGGTAATAAGAAAGCTGAACAAATCTTAACAAGATGCTCTGTTTTATCCCTTTCAGACTCTGTCATGGAACATCCTGGATTTGGAAGTATTGACACTAAACATCAGAGATAAGACATGCATCTAGATTCACTAGGATATAAACACAGATACTGCAGTTTTTTGTTATGTTACACCTACTATCTGCCCTAATATAAGATGCTTAAGAGAGCATAAAAGCATCAATTTAGTCTCATCATGGAAAAATAACAGTAAAATCCTGTTTTGCAGTGACTGCTCTCACACAGGGACATGGTATAATCTCTGCTCTCTATATTAATAAGTAATGATCCCTTGTGGCAGGAAGGCAAAGAAAAAAAATATGATCAATTCTGTACTTTTCACATTTCACAATTAAAAGTAGATAATATAAAAAAAAATCTTCTAGAATCTACAAAAAAGAACATACAAATAAATTTGAAAATGTAAAAAGCACATAGGTAAAACAAATGAACCACAGAATCCCACAGACATCAATGTCCCACAAAATGCAGTAAAGAAAAGCATTAATTAAGTATTCTTTCTGTATGTCCTTGTTTAAAAGTTCCAGCTAAAGGAGCGTCTGAATTTCCATTCTATTCAAATTGGAACATAAACTCATAGCTTATCAATTATCAGTGCCTTCCTATTAAAAAAAGAACTTCATTGTTATCTGGACTGTGTGTTTGAAATGCAGACTGCTGTTCAGGCTCTTACCAAAGGAAATGGAGTTATAAAAAGAGAAAACAACCAGAGGGAAAAAAGGTGGCTGAGTTGCACTGATTTGATTTTAAATATAATGAACTGAAAGAGTGAAAATAGGCTATTCAAAGATGCCAGCTGGGATATAATTCAAAGCAATCTGCATTACATTTTCTCAGGATCCATCATTGTTACAGAAACAGAACTGACGAGCAGCAGTCTCGCTGCTTTTGACGCATAACTTACCTGGAGGCACCTCAGAGAGCCAAGACAAATTATGCTAAGTGGGAAAACCACGCAAATGAGTGTGACGAGCGACGGTGAGAGCTCTGCTTGCATTCCATTCCCATTCACTCACAAATTCACACGGCAATGTGGAAATGCAAAGCAACACATTGATCTGAAAACTTGAAGTAACACCTAAATTCAGATCGATCAAAGAAGGACTCACATCTGATGTCGGCTCCACTTCGATTTGAAGTAAGGGGTTGCCCTCATTCCTGAAAGAAAAGCAAGTTTCAATGAAAATATAAGCTAATAGAGTCTCTACATTCATATAATTTTAAGCACTTTTAAAGAACTGATCAAGTGATTTTCTGACACTGCAGAGGCTTTAACCAGAAATCCACCTGCTGTGGACAGATGATTTTAGTGACTGTGACATTTGCAACTCCCTCTGGAAATGGAGGTTGTGAAAGAAAGGTGTGATATGTTGGTAATAGTTACTGTAATGTGTAGCTGCAAACCTTCGACAGATAAAGATAGAGCGTCAGACATCTGGCACGCTCAGATCCTCAGATTCATTTATTTTTATTTATTTATTTACACTTTTTAACATCCTTTTCTATGTGTATAGGGATGAGAAAAAATTGGGTCCTTGTTAAACTTCCCTTTGTTTTAAGGTTATTTATTGGTCTGACTGTTGATGTGGCCACATTTACAATGGTTAGCCTTTTTTTAGATATTAGCAGATCAATGCATCTGCCTTACCGGAACAACATGTCTTTCTTAACATGAAAAGAGGCAAACAGAAATGGTCAAAGTCATATTTATTTACCCGTCATGGCTTACTAATTAAAAGCTTCTACACACAAGTATAAATTAAAAAGCTTAATTTCCATTTCTTTTAATAGGATTCTTAGGGGTGCAACTAATTGTGGCTCTGTAATTTCGTAAAACAACAAAACAAAAACAATTGTTTCTTAATTTGTTTTTTTTCCCTCACTAAACAAATGCAGCCAAATTAAAGGCAGAAATGTTCTGTGTTTAATTATGCTAATGGAACAAAAGACTGAATTATTTTAAACCTTCTCACACGTCTTTACCAGGAGTGGCATTTAACAAGTGGGGTGCGCTAAGTGGCTGTTTTTAATAGCCGTACTTTGACTTATGAAGAGCAACACCTCTACCTTGAATGCTATGTTTGCTTGTCTTTCCCACTTTGAAGGGTAAGATACTTTAATTTTCCATCATTGCTTGTGTCTAGATTTACAGCACCTGGTTTCTTCTGCTGCAGAATTATGATGCATGTCTCACGTCAGTGATGTAAAAAAATTCAACGTGATCTTTCAGCCTAGACCTTTTGAAAACTATTGGATACATAATTGAATAAGTACCACTTATGGAAGGGGGAAAGTTTTTTATTTTTTATTTTTTTGGTGGGCGTGTCAAAATCAGGTGGTAGAGACTGCCATGAAAGGTCAGATATGGGTCGCATGTGCCTGTTGTGTGAACGTAGCGTATGTCACCTCATATTTAGACATCTGCCAAGACTGCTAAGAAACCTGGGGAGCAGCATATCCTTTTAAAGTTGTATCTATATATTTTCTGCATATACATTTGAGTACATTGCTATAAATTCAAGTTTTGTTTATCATGTTTTCAAAACAAATTTTGTGTTTGATTTTATATGCATTTCAAAAGAGAAAAAGAATCTTATTCAGTCAAGAAAATACACTATATTTTTGGATCGGACTTGTGAGACTTTGCCAAATGAAGCATTATTTCTGCCTTAATTACACGAGAATTATTTACATCAAAGTTTTGTGGATGTTGTAAAAAAAAAAAAAAGAGCCACTGGATTGTTTATTGTATGGAAGTGTATTCTGTGTTGCTGCTTCACTGCACTGATTGCTGATTGATTGCAGCTGCACCTGATAAACTGTGGGTGCCTGTGGGTGTGGAGCAATCTTGGAGAAGCTGAAATATTTGCTATTGTACCTACAGACACTTTTTGTGCACCAAAGCACGACGCAATAAATATGCCGCAGAGAAAAAATGTGGATCTGAGCCTGCGTGGCTGGATATTGAAGCTACTTGCCACCTTTGTCTGTGCACTGGTAACCTTTTTTCAGTCTGCTTTCAACAAGACACCAAAAGAGCAGCCGTCCCGCTGATGTAGAATCCCTTTGTTAAACGCGAGGTCTGTTATTGAGGCCACCTCAATGACTATGAAATGAGCCACTTTCACAGCTTCGAGCCATTTCTGAAATTACATCTGCTTTATTTTAGTCATTTCACAGAACGTGTCTTCTCTGTCACAGCGGCCTAAGAACTGAAATCACAGAATATTGTTTTTCTTCATGAAGTAGTTTGAGAACTTTTTGTGACCGCGAACATATTTTTTATTTTGCATTGAAATTTGTTTTATTTTCCTGTTGTTGTGCCATCACATGTCATGATATCTCATAATATTATATCAGAAAGAATCCTGGGGACTTTCTTTTTATGAATAAATTACCGGCACCACTCCACAACACGCTAAAAGGACAATGATGGATTTATGAATACATTTTGAGCAGGGTAGAAATGTAAGAAACTCCCATTTTGTGACCTCAGTTTTTTTTTTTGTCTCAATCTTTTTATTAACTTCAAAGTGCATTTTCACCCTGAGGCCCAATTAATTTCTGACCCCAGATTCATGCACAGTGGGAGGCAATAACATGACTAAAACAAGCCCTCATATCCCACACTGTGTAACATTAGTGTGTAACCTCTAACAACCTCTCCAGAGGTACATTAGCACTTGTTAACAAAGCATTCCTGGACTCTGGGCAGAGACTACAGGTGAGGCAACTTATAAAATAATGTGATTCCTGTGGCGCCAGAGGCTCATGGTAGCGGTTCGATCTCTGCTCTAATGAGGGAATCCTGCAGGGCGATGAGGTCTGAAACAGGCCCTCATTAACCCTGGGATGAGGCCGTTAAGGCCAGAGAAATCTGTCACCTGCTTCTGTAACAGGATAGCAAGATGTGGGTAGAGAGGGACAATAACACTGCTGAAGGAGGAACATAGGTTTTAAAACTTTACTGATGCGTTTACATTTGTCAAAGCACAGACAACAGAGAGAGAAAAGAGAAGCAGTTAAAAAAAACTGAAAGTGCTTCACTTAAGTCACAGAATTCAGAGAGAAGAGCGTTTAGAATATTATTCTGAGGTACTCATTTAAAATTATTCAGTTGCAGATGACAGAATGCATCATGAACAAGTAGAGAGTATTTTCTGAGCACCACAGAAGCAGAGATAAACAATGTGATGAACTGACTGACTAATCACAGTGGGGAAAATGTATAGTTTGCAAGGGAGACTTCTAAATCAGTTTCTCTGTGTTTTGCTCCTCCAGAGCTCATTAAAAATCTCCAGCCATAAAATATTTGTTCTGATGAGGCTCATTTGTCAGATTAAAAGTGTATTTTGCAAATGACAAGTCTTAAACATACTTTACATTAAGCCCACATTTCTGCATTAAATGTGTGTTATTGGTTAGATGTAATATTCTAGCTTTCCAAGAAATTAAATGTCATGTTTTCAGTAGCCTTAAGCAGAAAAGCATAATTAACAGAAGTAAAGGCTTAAAAACATCAATTTCTGTGTAATTGATCTATATAATATGTTTCACTTGAGTTACTGCAACAATTGTATTTGCCAACCATTAGCAGTGGATTATGGTAAGCCATTTTTGAAAGAAAGTCATTAGTTATGTTCAAAAAATGAATTTGCTTAATTGGTTCCTCTTACTTTGAGATATTTATTTAAAGATTTGATCTTAAAGCTGGCAGCAGTTTCATCACTCTGGCACATAGATGTCAAAACATGTGCCTTTACTGTGGATCAGCTTTTTCATCTATAGCTTATATGAATAACAAAAAAAACATTACTTTGGTATTTTCTTCTGTCAATGTAGACTAAACAATTATATCATTACAACTGACCATCTGCCTGTGGATTAAGTTTCTCTTGTTTCCTGTGTTAGATTGAGATGCTAATCCAATTAACATCGGGGTCGAAAGGCATCTCATCACCTATCCTCCTCTTCCGGATGTTTTCCCATGACCAGTGGCTTCCTCAAAGACTCAGTGAAAATCCACTTGGCATCCCAAGTGTAGCGTGAAGTAAAGGCCATGCTAACATTAGTCTCTGAGTAATCGTCATGTCGTCCCTCACATTGAAATTGTCACCCAAATATCTGTGCTCCAATAAGTCTGACTTGGCCTCTGAGCGGCGGTCACAGAGAGGAAGAGAGAAGTGCGAGGAGGAGACACGGTATCCTGTCAGACAAGGACAGAGAGAGGAAAAGGGATGGATGGATAACAGTATGTGTTCTACTCACCCCTGTTCAGAGAGGACCGGATGCAGAATGACTTGCGGTGCTCTACTGGGAGGCGCCTCTGGTGTAACATCTGGAGACATTGAAGTCACAACACGTTATAATTTATCCAAGCAATCAAAGTAATATATGTGTGTATATAAAATTAGTTCAGCTTATCTATGAATTAGGTAAGCACAATTGTTTGGTTCTGTCAAATGAAGACTTGAAGAAGGAGCGGATTACATTATTGTCATGCCAAGGCTACAACCTAATCACATCCACTTGGACTGGAGGTGGACGTACCCCAGAAGTCTAAATTGTAAAACTTCCTGGTACAGCAGAGACTATGCACATGGAGTCCAGCCACTGCCGCTTTTGGCTGTAGCAAAACAGATCTCACAAAGCTGGTGACACAAATCCATGTTCTCCAAAAAACACAGAGAGAGAAACTGCTATGTGTTTTCTGAGACGGGAACTGTGCGTGGTGTAAAGGTTTTGATTTAATCTTAGTCTACAATCATTTCTCATAAATTACACAACCTGATTTAGAATCTGCAAACCAGTCTAAGACATCTTTAAATTACATTTATGTAGGTAAATACATGAATTACTTCTTCATCATTTCTGATTTAAAAAAGGAACAAAAAACTAGATTTAAAAAATGCCTTTTATCAATCATGCAAGCACTGGAGTATTTTGGTAAAATGGTTGTCATTTCTGAAGAATAATATGGTCAGAGATTGAAAAGAAGAAGCAATTGTTTTTCATTTCATCTGGTGAGTTGTTTTTCTCAATAAAAATGCAGAACAGAAAGATTTAGATGCAAAAATGCCAGCAGTAAAATGTCTGTATATTCAAATTTTGACTAGCATGGTGTTATGGGATACGTATATGTAGGGGAAAAAAACTTCATATTTTACTGTGCTGTACATAAAAGGACTTTCCAAAATTATTGGCACCACAGCTAAGGATGGGTAAAGTCCCTTAAAAATACATCCATGTTTTATTGCAGTGGCATCCACTCACCCAAAAAAACACGTCAATCCAGTTTTTTAATTTCGGCGGAATTATTCAGTGGGGGACGATGTTATGAAAAAACATGTTCTTAAAATAATCTAAAATTGTCTATATTCATCTGAAGCATTTCTTTAAATGTGTACTTTGGTCACAGGGCCAGTGATCCTTTATTTAATAATGCATGCTTTCCAGTTTCCCTGTGGTATTAATATGACATGATATTGCTTCTCTTAGCCATTTTTAAAAGCTGAACAGACAAAAAAAAACATGCCATTCAATTAAAGGTGTTGTGTGTTGATTTTTTAACTAATTAATTAGAAAATACAGCAGCATCTTGCCAAATGTGCCCATTGCCTGAATAAAAGTAATAAAATGAAACTAACTTCAACTGTGACAACCAAAGCTAGATGAGGTGACGTACTTATCTTGGCACCATGAACATTTGCAAGGATGGTAAGTGAAAAACCTCTAAAGCTTACCAATGGAGATCAAAAGTAAAGAGTGGCATCCTGGAATCACCAAGTTTCTATAAAAACCCTTTTGAAAGATTTTTGTAATAACCCATTTACAACAGGTTTAAATAATAGATTGTTGTTTAAACAGAAAAGGCAAGGTCAGGTCACATGCATAACATCACACCTCATAATTTAAGAACTGTATGTACATTTAATAACTTTATGTTACCTGTTAAATTAGGCTATATGAGTAAAGTTTTAAGTTATGTTTTCTGTTCTTTGACAGCACAACATTTCACAGGGAATATGAAGTAAGGGCAGCTTTTGTGTTGACTCAACCTCTGAGAGACACATCATAACTGCTCCCTGTGTTAACACACTGTGACAATTTGTGACACAAAGTGCAAGCTGCAGAAAGTCCCTCAGTTGCATGGCACATTAGAAGCTGGCACTGTCACCTCACAGCAAGAGGGACCTGCTTTTCCTTTTTCATTTGGTGCTTTTCTGGATGCTTTCATGGACTGGCTCCAAGAACCTGCAAACCAGAAGGACTGCAAGCGCTCAGAGTCCAATCTGAACCATTCATATAGAATATGTAATTTATGTGACAAATCTCTATATTTCAGCCATATGAATGCTGTGACATGAATGATCCCACACAGATTTATCACAGCTATTACATTCACATTCGAAAACATTCAACACAATGCTTGTCTTGCCATTAGGCACCTTATATCCTGTAAAAGCGGTTTGTGTTTTCTTTTGTAAACGAGGACCAGCATTAAACTTATTATGACATTAGTATTAAACTGGATCAACTTCCACATAATATTCTCACAAAAAGTGACAAACTAGTTTTGTTATGCAGATGATTAAGGCGGTTAACGCAAATTCGACTAAAAAGAGTATATGAGTCGACAATAAGCAACACATGCAGCTGTCCGCAGTACAGCAGAAACACATGGTTTTCCGAACACCTGCCTCAACAGATCTCTGCAAGCTACACCGTCTGCTTTTCCCCCAAACCTCTCCAGGTTCTCCCAGCTGTAATAGGCTGCCAAATGAGCTACTGGTGAATGGTACCACTGTTGACAAAAGCGAGAGAATCTGGGCTCTGACAAATCATTAGGAACCCCAAATGAGACAAGCATGAGTGGGTGTAGGAGCCAAGAGTCTTCAACAAGCCAAGGTGAGAAAAGAAAGAAAAAATGACTACTGACATCAAAACATTCTTCCTTACTCATCATTGGTTGGTTTCAAAGCACTGAAGGATTTAAAATGATAAATTACTGGGGGTCTTACCAGGGAAGATGAATTGCTGCTTGTATTTGAAGTAACTGGAGGCTGTGGAAGGAGGAAAAACAGATGAGCCAGAGTTAAATTATCTATACAGAGTGATTACAAAGTGCATTTTAATTTTCAATGAAATTATTAAAGTTTATACAAAACTGCATTTTGGATGTTTACCTGTTAAGATAAAAAAAAACAAGTCTTTCAAAAAATTTAATCAGGAATGCAAAAATTAGCAAAAATTGCAACTTTTTGTGCAAAGTAGAAATTTTCTAGGCTTCCACAATGTTCAAGGTCTGAGTGTCACACCTTATAATATTTTGTTTTTGAAGAAAATCTGCACCTAACAGTGGAATTTCAATCAAAAAAAGCAAAGAAGGTCGGTGTTAACTGCATCAAAAGTACAAAAGATACTGAGCATGGCTAAAGCTGTGCTAGGCTTCTTACAAAGACATTGACACTCATTTCAGTAACACTGCATAGAATTTTTCAGTCATTAACATTTTAGCTTACATCTGAAATTTACTGGAAAAATTGTCAGAACAAAGTCAGCTGTAGGTGCAATGACTCTTTATTTTGTTCCAAGAAGTCACGCCACTGTTATCATAGTTTGCATATGTAAATGTCGGATTCAATGTCACTGTTTTTAGAAAGTCTACATGCTTAAATCACATCAAATATTTTTAGAACTTCCCAGTTTGAAAATATTTTTTATCAAAAACTTTGAGTGTGGACAGCAGGTTCAAACAAGGAAATGTATTTTACAAAAGTTTAGTTTGGGCAGGGTTTAAGATCCTGTCTGCACTTTTTAAGATTTAGAACGACAGATTCTGAGAAATAAATTTTCAAGTTTCTTACCTTCTTACCTTCTTTTCTTCATATAAAAACAAAGCAATTCACCTTACTCTCTTCTAGTGCTTCTGTAGTACTTTTCACCTTTCTGTCACTTATAAACCCATATTCAGGAGATTTATTACAGTGAATGTAGATTCTTTGAGAACTGAAGCCAATACAAAAGGTTGCAAACATTAATTTTAATTTTAAAGGGGGTGTCCATTTTTTTATTGCCTCATTTACAGTATTTCTATTGTGCAAGGAGCAGGTCAGTTTAAATACTGTGGCAGTTATTGCAGACTCTGTGGTCTAATATATTATATCTTTTGAAATGCTCTACTGATAAGTAACTACACATACTGGTAAACCTCCTACATCCAGCCAACTGAACACCTCTCAGTTCTTGTGGGTCATTAAGTTGGACATGAAGCTGAACCATGTTTTGTTAACTTTGTTCCTACCGGTCAAGTTGAACTGTTTTTGTTGCCGCGCCGACTGTGGAGAAGGATGCAGTGGTGATGGCGGAGTGGCACTGCTGGGCAACGGAGGAGCCGGGGAGGATGGGGTGGAGGAAGTGGTGGATGATGGATTACTGCTGGAGTCCGGTTGGTAGGGGACTGGGATGTGATCCTGAAGAGAGACAGGAAAAAATCTCTGAATTAATACAATTATCAATCATGCCCCTGAAATAAAAATCTTCAAAACTATAGTTCAAAGCAATGAACAAAGCAGTGGAAAAATAACAACAACAAAAAATCTGCTTCTCACAGACACAATAAAATCAGTTTGACCATTTGAAAAGGACTTTTATGCTAAAACATGTCAGGCTTTTAAAGATGCTTGGAAAAATCTCTCCTTTTGTGATGACAAAGAATGATAATGGAATACCCTTGAGCTTTCCTTTTGAGAAATTATGTTTTTGGTTTCAGAAAAACTTTAGTTTGTTTGTTTGAAAAAATCTGCTTTGTAGCTTTACTTCTTTGTCCAGAAATGTAGCAAAAACAGGAGATTTTTGACACCCAACCAGTTCTTTTGAAAATCCCCATTGTTTCTTTACTCTTGCTGCCAGTCTTGGTTGTAAGGGTGTACACACTTTTTTGCTTTTTTGACGTTTTTCTTCTATTTACTAATTTGTTTGTTTTTCTCTAACAATGAGCAGCATATACCGTATTTTCCGGACTATAGAGCCCACCATACTATAAGCTGCTGGTATCTCCTCCGCTCTGGATTCATTAAGGACGCAGTTCTCCGTCTCCAAAGCCGAACCATGGATTCGTTCATGCCGAGTTTACATGCAGCGGCTCCATTTCCCTCCTGTACTACCAGCCCTCAACTTAAAAGCTGCATCATATGAGTTTGAAGAAATTCCTCTGTCATGCCGGCTGCTAGCAACTGCCTGTTCTAAATAAAAATTAGCACTTTCTTCTTTGATTTCCAATTTTGACTTCCAAAGATCCATTTCCTGCTAAAGAGCCCCCTGGCGGTTGAAGAAAAATAAAAAAGTAGCGGCTTATAGTCCGAAAAATGTGGTACATGTCACACCCAGAATGAAGGTTCTGGAATTGATCATTTAATTGGTAGACTGTTTACTCTTACATGATTTACACATGGAGTCACATCGATATGTAGAAATGAAGAAAGTTTAAAGTATGTAGAACTATCTACCCAAAATTATTTTTAAAATAGATTCATGAACGCTCTACTGGTAAAATAGCCCAAAAGGTTTAGTACTACTGAAGCTCTTGTTTTCGTGTCTCTGTCCACAGATTCAATCTAAACCTTCACTTTTAGCTACACAGTGGGAATCATACAGAATCATACGGTAAACTTCATTCCAGAGGAACTAAACATAAACCCTGAGCTGCCAAACATTCAGCTTGGCAGCTGAATGTTCGGCTGAATGCTTCTGTGTAAACAGAAGCATTTGCTTCTGTTTACACAGAAGCAAATGCATCTGTGTAAACATCAATGTCGCTGAAAGATATTTTTGTACCCTTTCCTTATCCCCGGAGAAATAACAATGACTCATAACCCGCTCCCATATGTGATAGAACGTGATATGTAGGACAGGTTACAAACAATGTAATTTAGAGTTTATTTGTCATGCCTACCTTGTTGATTTTGTTGGTTTTGGGGAGCGTCTGACTGATATGCAGGTCTGTGTACCTGAGCGGATTGTTGATGTCACATGGCACTGATTCAGTCCGTACCAGACGAGCTACTATAGAAAAAAAATAAAAGCAGAGAAACACTTAAGCTCTGTGGGAAACTTAAACACTTGCTTAATAACTTCAAGAAAATCAGTAAAGCACTGCTTCTTATCTAAAAAAAAGAAAATAAATCTCACCACTTGTTATGAAATGCTTACATTATGAAGAAAAAAAATATCTGAAGGAGTTTATGGTATTATGAAAGTGTCACATTTCTTATAAAAGCATTGTTGAAGTGGTCCAATTAGAGCTTCTTACCTTGAATCGTTCCCTGTTGATCTTATTTGGAAAAAGAGAGGGAAAGCAGGAGAAGACAAAGGAGTTTTTAGTTTTCAGTGATGTTAGTGTCAGGATAAACAGTGCCTCATCCAAATCATTGCTCATCAGTCAGTCTAGAACATTTTGTTTGTTGTAATTAGAAGGTTTCTCTTTTGTGGGGACAAAAACACACTTTTTATAGCCAAGATATTTAAAAAATAAATGAATAATTATGAGGGGAGATATGGATCTGGAGCGTAGGCATCTGCTCTCTTTTAATGGAATAGTTAAGAAGTTTCCCAGAACCTACAAAAGTTAGAATATCTAAACATAAAGCTGCCCACTCATTAGACTTCGCCTGGGGCAGCTGATTCAGCAAACCAAGCACTTAGTATCAGTTTGTGATGCTTCAAACTTTACTTTACTAGAAAAATAACTGAACAAAATAGACTCATGACGAGCAATATTGTCTCGCCTATTATATAAGGATAAGCAATTATTATCTTGTGATGCAAAACATTTTTTAGTTTAAAGCTGAAGCAATATAAGACAAATGCCTGTGAAACAATCTTCCTCCTCCAATGAAGTTATCAAGTTATATGATGCAAGCTTTACATATCAATGCATAGAAATAACAATTTAGTGATGTTTTTTCTTTACAGTAATTTATTAGTACAGGTTTAATTTGTCGCATATTAACAATCAACATTTTGTCAGTATCAACTGAATTTTCTGCCTTATTTCTCACTCTGAAAAACATATAGGTAACAAACTCAGCTTTGGGTAATACTAAACAGGGCCTGTTCCAGATTACCAGCAGCCTGACACACATCAGAAAATTAAAATGTGCCTGGAGCGCCACAAGTTAAGGTAAAGATGCATTCATGCAGGATAAAAATGTTCCAACTTCCGTGAAAAATTAGCATTTACCCCAAGGCTGTACAGTATGATGTTCCTTTGTAACGTTAATGAGATGAGGAAAAAGAAGGAACATGACAAAGACTGGCATGTTCCGTGAACTCTATAATCTTTTATAATTACTTGTCTTGCACTGTGAAAGCAAAAATGACTATAGCAGTCTTTATCAAGACAATGTATGCATTAAGCATTATACATTACCTTTGAGGGATTCTCGTCCTCCTCGCTGTATAATCAATAGATGGCAAGGTGGGGCTTCTTTGGTGCATTTGTTGTGGCACTTCAGCCTATATGCAAACAGAATACAGAGACTAAATTGGTGCCTATTAGTTGCCATTTGAATATTTTCTCAGAATTCAAACTTATGCAAACAGGAAGCATTAACATTAACATCAACAGACAAGAAATACTGCAAATTTATGTAATGAAGATGAAAACAAAGAGGTTACAAATATCAAGCACACAATTAAAAGAAATAAAAGATCAATATGGTTCACTTGTTTTTAAAAACATAACTAATAAAATGTGGGATTAGATATAAATTACTACTCGAAATTTAATTGAATGCTGTCAAATATTCATGATACCTACTTGCAGTTTTTACATTTTAGTCCAAACAACATTCCCTTTCCACATACTATGCATGTCTGGGACATCCAGTACTTGGTGGAAAACCTGCAAGTAAGAAAAGACACAATAAACACAATAAACACCTATGTGGTTATAGAAAACCATTCATCATAATAAGGCATTTGCCTTCTTATAAATGCTCATTAAATCACAATTAGTTTCTGCAAGCTGTCTGGTTCTTCATACGCAAGGATAATACACACCAAGAAGCAGGAGCTTCTTGTATAACAGTGTTTACCATTGCAATTTCCTCACCTGCTGATTTAATTTGGGCCCATTTCATTTTCCATCTTTTTTAAACTCAGTCTGAACGACAGACAATCTGAAGCACAGTAGTGAGGTCACAGGGTTAATGTCAATAAAACGATCGGTCTGAGTGATTGGGAGTTTTCAAGCTTGTGTTCATGATTAGAGGCCAACACAGCCTCTTCTCAAGCACAACCACAGTGCTCTGCAGCAAGAACCAATTCCCTGCGCAGATTGACTGACCGTTCCAAACACGTTTGTGACAATTGGCAGTATTTACTGATGCAACGCCTGGATGCCAGTGGTGTCGCTGGCTGGCTAATGGCAGGTGACTAATCTAGTTTGACAGAATCAAAATCTCTTTATTAGACCCCTCCTTTGCCTCAAATGAGTCACACCTCACTCCAACCAATTCCATTTGACAGAATGTTTTAGCGGACTGTCAATTATGTAGGACAGTGAGGTCAGATTCTGCATGACGAAATTATCTTTCAGCAAAGAGGGGGTGGCAGTGCAAACACATGCATTTATCCAAAAAACACAGAAAAAAGGAAAATCTGAAAATAGACAAATGGAATTCAAATAGCTTGTTGTGTTAAAGGGGAGGTGTCATGCAAATTCAACTTTTTGAGGTTCATATCAAATTATAAAATCATTCCCTTATCAAGAACAGGCAGGGTGTTACTTTGATTCAATCAAAGTAATTCAGGGGCATTTAGGCGCCTGCTAGCACAATGTACCGCCTATTTATCCAGCAGAGCTCCCACAATAGAGTTCCCCTGCGACTCCCACTCAGTTCCTTCAGGTTAGCAGCAGCAGTTAGCAAACACTTGGTGGAACTGTGCATCTGCTGGGCAACTTATCAGTTCAATACTCCTGCGAACTGCTGTGAACGGCATCTTTGGAGATACACTGTTGTGATGATGTGCTGAAGATGGACTGCTGGAAAGGGTTGGAGCTTCTTAAAGAGAAAGAGGCTATTTATTAGGTCACCCCAATGTTCCTCTGTCTAATTGCAAGCTTAAGCTTAAGAGCAAATAGGCGATGCTTCCTAAAAGAAAAAAAAAATCTTCATTTGACAGCATTAATAAAATACAATTTTGCTAGGAAATAGGGCCAAAAGTCCTCCACAGCAACAAACTAAATGCCAGTTATAGCATAGTTTTGTTAGCAGAACCAATTATTAGGTTTCATGCACAAATATTTGTTCACATAAGGTTAGGTAAGCTTGGATAGTTTTCCTTCTCGTAGTAATTAAAATGATTTCCAAACTTATTACTGTTATCTTTCATATTAAAACTGGTTTGATAGCAAACATTTTGAGTGTGACTAAAAAGCAAAAACAAAAGAAGTCACTTAGTTGGCCAATACATGTTTTTTTTGCAACATTGTATTACGTAAATTGGAACATATTTATTAACCACTTCAAACACTCCACAAAACGCAATTTTCTTTAGACTTACCGGTGTTTTATTGAGTTTCCAAAATCTCTTCGAGGAATCTGTGGGGACCAGCGAGGCACTGAAAGAGTGTCTACAGAAAAGAACAAAGAAAGAGCAAGGTCTTCATACTTTTTTTTCCACTTTAAATGGTAGTTCTGACAGAATATCTATGAAGAATTGACTAAATGTCTTGTATTCACTGTTCGTTTATTGCATATGGCATTTCACAGTATGGACATGCTTTTGTAGCAACCTTTAGGTCTCAGCTGTAATCAGCAGTTCAGACAACTGAGTGTCAAGATGTCACAATAAATTAGATGTCTTGGTGATATCCTAATTGATGACGGGGTTAATGGTCAGATACCACTGACAGCTATGTTTTCATTGGGATGTCCACAAATCCACAGCTAGTTAATTTGTTTCCAGCCTTAATTGCTAAGTGGACAAACTGCCAAATGTGGTCATAATAATAGTAGATGAATAGATCTGGTCTCTACATGTGAAAAAACCGAGAAACTGAAAATAACTGTCACAGCAAATATAGTCAAAGCAATTGTGAGTTTATCAATCAACACACAGTTTTCATGGTGTTCAGGAGTAACTGGTTCCCTAAACTATTATTCAAAGTGGTATTGTTGAAGTTCTGTATGTGTTGTTCCAGAACATGCAGAAAATGACTGGGTCCAGTTGATTCAACGTCCTCTAAAATCTTCTTACCAACAGACAGACATTAAATGACACAATGAAATAGAATACATATTATACTTTAGTTTGGAGAGGATTGGACAGTAAATAAGTGGATCTTAATAGGATGACATGATTGGATTTAATGGAAAAGAATTGAATTGATTTAAACTTAATCTGACTAAAGATGGCTTCTTCATAATTGTATATAAACTGGACCTGTTTTTCTTGTATAGGTCCCTTGCGATTGCACTTCTCGAAAAAGTATGAACTGAAATTGAAATGAAAGAGGCCCTTCTTAGTTTACTCCTACGCACAAACTGCAAAAAGCAGCTTTAAGTAAACACAAAGGCTTCCGACTGGATGTGAGGGTTATTGATGCATGTAGTTTCTATCCATTCTGAAATCTAGAAGGAGATATCCAATACTGGTTTCATTATATGGCAGAAATTGGTAGAAATGATAAGAAAATTTGACACAAAGTTATAAAGTTTTCACCCTGCAGAGAGCATTAGGTTATAAACATTTAGTGACAAAAGAAACTACCATGAGATTATTTCTCTATCCATTAGAGTAAAATACTATCTTCAGAGAAAAGTTAACCTGACTATGAGCTGTGTATACTGGTAAGTCAATCTTCAACAGTATAAGGATGACACAAACAGCATCAACAACCAGTATGGTTGATCCAAATATAATATTTCTAACATAAATATGTTTTGACTATTGCATTTTGTTAATTACTTTGATTACCAGGGAGTATGTGAAAAGTTGTCACAGACAAGGACAACTAAAACAATAACAGCATGACTACAGCAACCCAGATGCAAGACATAAGAATTCAGTAAAGTAATGAAAGAACATAGAAAATTGACCACCTTAGTTATAAACTATGCTTTCAATTCTTCAACTAATGACATCTACTCCAGAAAATAGTGTCACAAAGCAGCTATTAATGGAATTTTGTGTTTTTGACCTGTCTTCAAGTCAGTTGTCATCTAATTCACTTCAGGTTTGGACATTTGTAAGACTGTTGAGAAAATTTCATAAAAGCAAAACAGGAAAAAGCAAAACTTTTAATTAAATATGCATCAGCACACAAAACCATATGTCAGCAGCAAAGAATAATTCAAGCTCTCTGTGTGCTGCACTCTTTTAAGCCTTAGAAATGAAAACAAAATCAAATATTTTCTATAATACAATTCAATCTCTCTGTGGGTTTACCAACAGGTTTCATTTAGTGATTGGGCTACTTTTATGCTGTCTGCAGTCCATTGTGAGCAACTCGAGCTTAAATAGAAGTTCACAAAAAAGTCTTTCGCATGGTCCATTAGTGCCTGCAGAGACTGAGCAGCCCAGTACATCTATGTGTAACCTCCTACTGAATGGTGAGCATGGCAGCCCACACAACAGACCTGTGTGCGTTTGTTAGCTGTGGAGCTGCGCACTAAGATAAGGGTACCAATGATTTAATAACAAAATAACTATGTAGAAAAGTGTTGACAAAGTTATAGATCATACTGCACAGTGCACCATCAAAAAGTATTTCAACCAAGTTCATCGCAGTTAGAGAGATATGTACTTTCATTTTTGACAGCTGCATATGATGTGCGGTTAAACAATGCACATTGTCCAATAGAAGACTTTCAGCAAACATGAAACATTTTTTGAAAAGCACCACGTTTAGAGTTTATAAGAAAGTCTGACAACTTGGAATAAAATAAAGCGATGGGGGATTACTGAAGTATTGCACTGAAGTTCTGTATGTGTGTGGAATGTCCCTTTAGGTCCCTTTAGGAGCTAAAGGGACATGCCAACAGACTTGCACTTCATGTATAAAATCTTCTTGAAAGAAGATCTAATGATCCAATCAAGATCAAGAAATTTTTGTCTCATCAGAGACAAAAACTTTTTAAGTTTCGTGCATGTTTCTGTCAGATGAGGCTCACAGAAAACATCTTCTATGTTTTCTGATAAAGTTGCCCTTAAAGTTTGTAACATGTCAACAAGTGCCCCTAATGTGTCTGCAGAATGAAACTGTTTCATAGCATAAAATTAAATCAGCTCAATAGCCAACTGCAAACTTACCCAATAAGTTTACAGATAACTCTGAAAGCAAATAAAGTTAGGAAAACGCTTTAAAGTGGCCTAATGTTTTAGATGTGCTACTGCTCCAACACAGGTCACTGAAATGGACATCTTACATCCTCCTATCCTCCACATCCCATACTTAGCAATGTGCCATTTATTTTTGACAAAATCATGTTGAACTGCACTGTACTTTTAGCATGCGGTGTGCAAGACAGTGCTGTAAAAAATGAAGGTGCTGGTTCTAGATAATTGGCAAATAATTAATTTGAAATTAGTAATACTGGTATCAGTGACACCCAACATCAAAGCAAGTCAACAACTGTTTCAGGTAGAAGTCCTGAGTTATGGCACCAACCACAGACATATTAATATCATTAAAGATTTACTTTAAATCTTCCTTCACAATGCTAGTCGATTAACTTCAACTCTGAAATGACAAAAACATCAGAAGAAGTGAAGATGGCAAGAAAACAATATTATACAAGTCAGACATAAATGCTTTTTTTGTGAGTCTTTATGCAAATTTATTCATGAGTATTGTGATGCTTTTAGCTAGAAATGAATCCCAGGAGTACATAATTCTGGGAAACTTGAAAGTATTCTGTTTCTGTGTGAGTACAGAAACTAACAACTAATCAGGGAAGTGTAAAGATAAAGCGTTGAAGAAATAAATGCCCAGTGACCTTCTTTTCTCACTGCATAAAATGCCTGTAGTCCAATAAATGGGACTGTGTGAAATGAGATGGATTTAAACATAAAAATTTCATATGCAGTGGTTATTTATTTTGTGAATTTTAAAGGCTTTTATTTCTGCTGGGTTTTTTCCTTCATGTTCAAAATTCACTTCAGTCGTTTAGAGAAAGATAAATAATGCAGGCCAAAGTATTTACCCGATGGGGCAGAAAGAGGCGATTGAAATCTAAAAATGCTTCAAGGTTGTTGTTTGGCCCTGGTGGTTGCATGAAGCTACTGCGCTTAGTGTGTTACTAATAGAAAGAACCAAGAGATACCAAGACAACCTTATTAGATATTCTGCCTGAATTACAGCAGCTGCCTGCTCAAACAAATGCAGTTCTCAAATGCATTAATTTGTACTTCAAACCAAAATACCATCTGCCCAAAAGCGTCGTGTCCCTCCCAGTATCGAGTAGGTTTTGTTGTTGTTGTCAGAACAACTCAGTAATCCCCTATAAAGAATGTGTTGCCAATATTTAATCTTGTAAGCAGTTTAATCAATTTGATTAATTGATCACCAGGTTGCTAATAATCACCAGCTGTAGACAATGATAATGTCGTGGCTCTGGTGCCATCGAGCATTTCCTGATTCCTGAAACACCCTTCCTCTGCTCCACCTCCAGTCTCTCCGGAGGCTTGATGTCGTCTCTCTGCACTCCGATGCATTGCTCAATTACACTCAATCATCCCTATAACCTAATAAAATAGGGAACTGACATCATCTGGCTCTTGTCGGCCTGGCTGGCAACTGGCAGATGACTTGACCTGTCAACAGCGGGGCTGAAGTTATTTATCATTCTGTATATGTATGAGTGTGCTGTTGACATTATCTTCAACAAGAGTCTTTGAGGGCACTGCTAGTCCTGCACAAGTGGTAGAATCTCCAGGGTGTGGGAGAGATCTAATTTTCAGAAAAATGCATATGCTTGATATGCAACATATTGCTATATGCCTATATTCAAAACCTCTTCTCTAAAGTTGTAACTCTTGTAACACATTTCAAGAATGATAATTTTGGCACTATCATTCAGAAAAGTTTTACTCCAGCAGTCAGTGTATGGGACTGTAGGGAATAAACTGTGATAGACAGCAAATCTAAGAAAAAAAAAAAGATTATTTTCAGATTCTTTAGTTGCATTTCATGGTTATCTCATTGTAACAGCTTTCATATTGTTGGAGTAAAGGTAAACAGAGTTACCTTTTCTACTCTTCCACTCTGAATCTATTCAAATGTGGTTGCTAAGTAGCATACCTTCATAGCAACTGGAGACATCCATGACAAAATTGCATCAAGAGAAAGCTAAATGGCAATGATGGAGCACATTAGAAGGCTCTTTTAAAGTCTTTTGTAGGTATGAGAAATATGTTAGTCATGGTTTGTACTTCTTTTGCTGAATCAAGGCTTCAGTAGGTTGGAATAACAGATTCAGTAACATGATAGTATTTTTTGAGCATCTATCAAAATAATTCTCAAGAAAAGCTAAAACACTGCAAAAGTATTCACACCAACACTATTTGATACATTTTTGTACTTAAATGCATTTAATTCATATGGCTTGTAAAGATAAAATAAGTTTATAC